TGATGTACTGCAACTAGACGGCTATTGATTCAACATCTCTTAACGGATGAAGTATACCTATGTCCTTAATGTCCTAATGACAATTTGGTCTTTACAAATCATTCTGGTCTATCTATCCTAGCTTTGGATACAACAATGAAGATGGCAAAATTCCGAAATTTGTCTGACAGACCATACAGTAATGGTAGGGATACTAGGATGATCCGTAACGACAATATTTATTCTCAAACCTTAATCAATTTATCAAGGATGTTGGTTTTTGAAGGCGCACGACCAATTTAAGCATCCCATTATCGTGAGATGTTGCCTAGAGGTTTGAGGGGTGAAGAATTTGTAAGTTGATTCTTATGGCCTAGATGTTTTGAATGCAGAAAAACTGAAGATGTGTGAAGCCGAAACGCGCCTGGTAGATTACAACAATGAGGATAGGTAGACCATAAATGATCAGAAACAAACTACAGATAACAATAGTGAATGTCGTATGAAGGTGTAGGCGTATTGTATAACCTTAAATTATAAAATATCTGTATAAAAGCTTACATAATAGATCGTCAGTACAAAAGATTTTAGGTCAAATACGCATCGAGATGGTTCGAACCAATAAATATTACTTTTGGAGTATAATTATATAGGACGTCAGTAATATATTATGTTTCTCATTGTCTAAACTTTTATAGCTGTCGTCTTGTACTCCACTTGAATCTAAGTTAAAAATTGTAGTTGCCGATAGTGGTTCGTGATGGGTCATCAATGCTCACACGGACACGGCCCGCAGACAGGCAGCCGATTCCCAACTTTCACTTCTGATACGTTCAGGCTGTAAGTTTTCACGGGCAAGCGGGTAGATTTCTAAAATCGAATTCCACCACAGAATGGGTTCATTTAGGTATTCCTCCTTACTTCTGGAGGGATCGTAACTTATCATATAAGAATGACGCCCACGGAAATGTATTTTATATAAAAGTTACGACCGCATTTATTTAATACGCCTAAAAAATGCGCGCCGGTTGCTTTTAACACATGAGTTTTTTTCTAATCTCGAATCTAACCAGGTTGACCTTTAACGCCGACAGGCGTGGCTACGGCTAATTTCTTCCCCACGTTGTTAAACCGTTGCAAATGTTCTGGAAATAGATTTGCATTTTGAACGAGTTTCAAGCCTATTTCATAATCATTTTTTCTTAAAGAGGCTATATCAACTTATATACATAAATAGATAACCTTTGTGATGACACCTATAATTTGGTTCTTACTGACCAATTTTGTTTACAATTCCTCGTTGTTTTGATTTGCCATACGAGTTTAGTCATTTCGCCACCTCCATTCAAAATGAGGGATATGCAGGCCAATAGGTAACAACCAAATTACATTTGCCATAACCCTACAGTCCACACAGAGCAATCTGACCATATTTGATGTTAAAAAGGTCTTAACAAACAGCGGTATTGGTATACTTATGTATAATGTACAATATGCGCCTTCAGAAAAATGACATCCTTGCTACATTAAGGTTTGAGGATATACAGGGTGTTTATGGGATTTGGCAGGAAATTTATTAAGCTTTCAGACTTTTCTCTTTACATTGGCTGATTTTCCACTCCTCTTCAAAATATTTGCAGTTGAAGGCAAAATAAAGTGGTTTCGACCTAAAGCACTAGAACAGCATTCTATTTTCAAAAAATCATACTTCCGGTTCAATTAGACCGATTTAAATAACACGGTGCTCACTTTTCTCGCCAAAAAATCTAGTTTCAAGGAGAAATGTGAAAAATGGGGGTTCTCATTTAAAATTAAGAATTTGAATTCGACTCATGCCGAGATCCAAAAAAATACATCGACCTTATATGAACAAACTACATGAAAAATGAAGGGTAGTCTCAGTCCATACTTTTTTCCTATCTAGAACCGCAAAGAAAAAAAATGTGGTGGGCGCATTAGCTTGCACACCCTGTATATGGTATTTATGGTAGTATCCCTATCCGACCTGTATGGTCTGATAAACCAGAATGATTGTCATTAGGACGTTTAGGACATAGGTATACTTCACCCTTTAAGAGCTGTAGCATCTTAAAAAGCCCTAATCTTAAAAAGATCTTTTTAAAAATAGCGCATTGATGGTCCTCAAAATAATTTAATCTTTCTAATCTTGAATATTCCTAAATTAACTATCTGTTTACGCAAAACTGGTAGAGTTTAAGAAATCACGAACTATTGAATGAACAAATATGTTACTACTCGCATAGATTGTCCATTATCTACTGAATCACCTATTTTAATTGTTTAAAAAATTTAATTATTTCTTATTAAAAATACTGGGAAAAATAATTTTAATTAAATAATAAAACGTGTATGAGTGAATTAGAGTCGATTAAAAGGTTTATGTATTGGTGCGACCCATGACCCGAGGGAAAGTGGCTCCTCCTTTTGATTTATTTGAGAAGAAGACGCACCGCCTCCGGGAGAGGAAAACCTTCGACTTTCTATTGCTTATAATAATTAAGCACGGGCGTAATTAAATACATGTCCGGAGTGGTTTTATTGATGGAACAAGAGGAAAGACGTGTCAGGTGGAAAGTGAATAAAGCCGAGATGAAGAGGATCGCGAGGCACCTTCATCTCTACCATTCTTTAGAATCTAGACTCAAAAGGATTCTACCATGAATTGATGAGGCCGGATAATATTTACCAACGATCGTAGAAAACCTACGCAACAAGTTTAAAACACCTTAAACCGAGTATAGTATCACCTTTTCAGTATGAAATTTCCAAAAAAATATTTGTTTTCATTTTACAAAATCGCAATTCATGAAACTTTGATTGAATCACATCTGCCTGTTATCATAATAATTTCTTTGTCTTTTGTCCTTCTCAATAAATCTTGCGATCATGAAACAACGGGAATGTCACAGGTGGAAAGGACAAATGACGGTCCATTCCGTTCACCGGGGCCGGGGCACAGCCCTTCTATTCAAAACCGCTCTTTTATAATCAGCAAAATTAACATTTACCATTTCTTAGCCCACTCGTGCCCGTTAAAAATTCGACCCGTCACATGAGGACCTTGTTAATCCCCACTCTACAGGTTTATCTCTGACCCTGTTTAACAATCCGGGAACTTGAACTAATCCTGAAATGCCAACAGTTACTTCAACGGAAATATTAGTGAGGCGAGATTGCCGTTTCGCAACGTTCCATTACGTTAACCCTTTCGGATGAGCCGTGTCAACAACTGGGTGGTCTTGTGTGTATCTTTTTACAATAAATTAAAATGGGAAAATCCAAAGGGGTCGGTATCTTTACCTATTCCTTTTAGTACCTATTGACTGTAATCTGAACGTCAATTAATCAACTCAATTTTTTTTTTTTTTTAAATTAGAGAGAGCGAGATATGTTTAACGCATTTGTCAATTTCGATTTCAAATTATCTGCAAATCCCTTTGAGACAAGGAGGTAAGTGTTTTTCGCATTTTTCCTACTGCACCACTTTTTGAACTGATAAACATAAGTTCTCGGACAGTCTGGTCTTTTCCGTCATTTTAGTCTGACTGTTTTACCTTTGATCTTTCCCTGTCATCATTAACACTCATGTGTGATCGATGTGTTATCATTCAACGGATTATAAAAAAGGTCATAATAATTTTTTATTATAATTTTATCTTTACATTTATCAAGGTTATCTTGGTCCGCTTATTCTCGCTGGGTTGATCTGTCAGACGTGTTTAGGCATTTCCCTATCTTCAGTATGCCCTAAAATTTTATTATTAGACAGTCCCATTGCCCAAGGATGAAATTACAAGTCCATCACCCAACAGATGTAGGATAAACCACAGGATAAATTGTATTCCTGTAACCCTGTAAGAATGTATATTCTAGTAATCTAGAAGGAGTCAAGGTTATAAGTAGGGAGAGAACATTGAATATTTGCCAGATTTTGTCGATGTATACGAAAAAATTTAATTGTGATATTATCTTTTGAGGTCTGCGTGATGATGAACTTGTAGTTCCTAGGACAATCCCACATGTACCGGTGCGTCGCACGGTTCACATCCCTGACAAAAACGCCTTGAAGCGTGGGTGAGACTAATCAGACTGAAAGGTGCGTTTGGGCTCCTTGCCATCTTCAGTGGTGGTGAAGGGTGAGAGTGTACACGCATTTGATTTCATTTCATGATGTGAAAATATTGTCGGAACACGATCTGAAAACATTTAATTGTGAAATCATCTCTTGGGTTCAATAGGGTGATGAACCTGTAGTTTGGACTTTTCTGAGGACACTCGTCGGTCCATTTGGGTCTTTGCCTCGTCCTGCTTGTAACACGAATAGATCAACCGGATTCTCAGGCACTTTTCGGCTTTTTGCTATCTTCAGGGGTATAAGAAAAGTTCGAGAATATTGAATATTCACTTAATTTCATTAGTGCATATGTACAAACCGATGGACTGGGACCTGACATAAATCTTAGTTGTAAGATTACCTTTCGGGTTTTTTGGACCACAGTAGTTTGGACGTTTCTGAGGACATTCCGTTGTATCATATGTGCCGTGCATCGCCCTGCTTACAACCTGATTTAACGCATTGAAATACATATAGATTAAACAGATTGTCAGGTAATTTTAGTTTTTTTACTATCTTCAGTTATAGGTCAGGGATTTAAGAAGGGTGAAGTAAGGAACCGCTGAAGGTTGCAATAAACCGAAATACCGAACACAAATACCGTTGGCGGGTAAAAACTAAACGAACATTTTATTTAACAAAACAGAAAATACAACAGTATATTTACAATTAATTTATTTTTATGTAAGGTATTGGTTGAGATGAAAAAGTTAGTGTAACAAGCGGGATTCGAACCCACGACCTTCGGCTCAATACGCCCCTTGAGCTATCGTTACTTCGATCCATCGGACATCAACTCCCCATCTCAACCTCAACCTTTCGCATTTAACCTCTTTTTGCCATAATTCAAATGGATTATATTTACACATCAACACTTGTATCGATATTACACTTTTCTAGGTTGTTTTATTATTAAAAACGTCATAGTTTAACATTGCTCCTTTATTGCACGGACGGAATGTACTGACATAGGTCCATCTGATCGACGTACATCTGTAAAATACTTTTAAGATATTGATTGGCGGCCTGTTGGACTCCAACGGCGTATTCGTTAAGGTATGCGTTGAAGACGTCGTCCTTTAATGTATTCCAAGCGCTGGGCGGAAGAAGCTGCAGTGCGATCCCACCTAAGCTAGTCACCTCGGCACGGTCAACTGTCACATTGCAGAACCCAGAAATATCATCGATGACCGTGAATTGGACGGCAACTTGGTTCTTTTTGATGGCTAATGCCAGACCGCCCGTACTCTTCGGAATACCTTGAAAAAAATGAATAAATCGGATCAATAATAATCAGTGCATAATTGTAAATAATAAAGTGGTCTTACAAATAGAAAGCCGTATATTTTTCGTACAAAAAGATTTTTGTTTTTAATGAGCTGTCCAAGTTTACTCACTAATATCCTATTTTGTTCACAATTCGGTTGTTCAATCAAAACTTTATTGCATCGTAAATCTAAGATTTTTGCCAAAGTTGTTATGATATTAAGCGTATTTTAATAATTAGGAAAAATTTGTGTTACACTATTATTCGATATGTTGTTGATGTCATATTGTTTACTGGCTTTCTATCATTATAGTCCGTCTATCCATGCTGTATTTATGTACATATTTAACAACTGTCCTAAAAACATAAGTAACTATTTTTCCTATCGATTTTATCTCAAATTGAGCATGGTGATGAATCAGAAATCCCCACCATTAATTGATCTGGTCATAGTTCAAGGAATGAATGTTTTGCTCAGAATGGAAACGACCCAACTACTGGTTCATCCAGAGAAGATATCTCATAATTTTAATATTTCTTTTAATTACTATTCCACCCTAATAACTAAAATCCGGATGAAATTGACGATGTCTGATTTTGGCTCGATCTCCTGTTGAATAAATGTTGTTGAAACCGTTTAAAACCTCGCAAGACATTCATGCGATTCAACGCTCAATAATTTTCCCTAAATTAAAATTCCACTTGAAAAGTTTAAAATACCTATGTCGAAGTTAAAGACGTCGAAGTGTGCTGCCAAAGTGTCGAACGAAACGTTGAGGGCGACGACCAGGTCGTTTTCTCCAGGGGTGAGGACGACCGCGTCGCCGACCCTTTTCATGCTGGTTGTGTTCCAGGCAGTCGCGTTCACAGTTTGAACGAAACCCGTGAGCACCCAGGGGCCGACTTTGGTCTTGTTCAGAGTCCAGTTGACATTCGGCAGTTTAATCTTGTCCATGTGGTACTCCATGGCGTACTCCTTGGCCGAGTCGATGAACATGTCGACCAGGTCGTTCATGTCCGCCCTGGCGGACGCCAAGCACAGAATTAATATCACAGCTCGCATTTTCCCATTTCTGGCGTCCTACTCATTTTTATATATGGAATCGAGACAAACACTTTCATCCTTATCTCGCTAATCAAGTCGTATCTTTCACTCGAGCCACAATTCAAATCGATCAAACTGTCATCAGAAGTTTGTATTGTTGTTCTTTATTTTACAATGAAATTGCTGATGGTTTCAACTTGAGATATTTTATTCATTTTAATAATTTTTTGTCTTTCTAAGACCATTTTCACGTTATCTCTGGTATTTTCGTTACGTCAAGAATCTCTCTCCCCTTTGTACACCACTGACAAAAAACGAGGGAGATAATAGAATTTAAACTTTGTTTTCTGATTAATTATCCGAGTAGTGTTTTATAATAGAACTAACATAAAAAACTTTCAAACCTTGTATGCACATAAACAACATGTTCAATGAAAAACAATACTAATATAATATAATAAAAATTAAGTTTATTGCCAATAAATTTACCGCGCCGGAAGAAAAAAATGTTTTTATAATTCATGTACTAAAAATGGTCTAGAGGGTAAAATACAAATTTTTAAAAAAGGTAAAAAAACTTTTATTTTTACTCTGCGTTTATTTATTATAATTATTATTTATTATAGTAAGCAAAACAAAGTATGACTCCAAAGATAATTTTTCGCAAAGAATGTGCTCGTGTTATTAGAATTTTAAGAGATTTGTGCGGTTGATTGGTGACCAACTTTTTTTAAAAAACGTAATGACTTTTTTTTTAACCCATTTTGAAAATCCTTTCCATTTTACAAACAATGATACCAGAAACTGAAAAAATCATCGCTTTGTCCGGGAAATATTGAGTATTCAGCCAGAAAACTCGATCATTGCAATTTATCATGTAACTATTTGCACCTGTTTAAAGTACGGGTTAAAAGTACTAAATTTGCCTATAAATTACAATTCGGAGTACTCGATATTCCTCGGAGAGATTTCCGATAGGCATCTTCATTGAGACTAATAAATTACATTCGGTTTTCCGCAAAGTACTAGATAATTCCTCTGGTTGATTGGGGATAAGCCTTTTCATTCACGGTAATAAATTACATTCACTCTTTCGCTACTAGATATCTTCTGAATGATTGACGTTAAGCCCCTAAAAAAGGTTTTTTCTTTGTTTGACTACGTTTACATTTTTTTATTTTTTTATTTTTTTTTTGTTCTGCCTTCTAATATAAAAGATGTTAATATTTGTATTATTTTCCTTTCTAATTTCTATTTAAAAATGTACCTCTATTAGATATAATCAATATAAAAAATTAATATCTTAATGAAATCTTAACAAAAAATCTTAATAAAAGAAATATATATTTCTGCCTATACTATTTATTATTTACAGTAAATTAAAATGGCACACAGCATAAAAAATGCTTTTATATTGCTTTAGCTTTCATTTATTATTAGTACTTAAATTTAATTTTCTTGAAAATGTAAAACATAGTTTAAATGAAATACTTTCTTATAATCAAATGTTGTTAAAATATGTCGTTGCTCTTAAGGGAGAGATTTCTTCCTTGAATTTCTTTCTTCTATTCTTAAGGGAGAATAAACGAGTTACCGTTCTTTGTTACTTTTTCTATTGTAAATTAGAAATAAATCATTCATTCTTTCATCCAGAACCTTCAACTGTCCGAAATAATCAGGCCACAAACAGTTCACCACAACAGTTAATTCTTGTTCTTCCAAAAAACAAATCAATAAACGCTGATTGCGTAAAAAAAGTGTCGAATCCGAAGCAGAATTTATAGAGAGGTGAACGGACTATCTGTACATTGTAAGGAGATGTCGGCAAACAAAGAATTTGGGTTCCTGCCAACCAAAATATAAACCATGCACGGAGTCCTGTTCGTTAGGCAACCCGCACGACAAACAAGTGAGTCGAGTCGGTATCCATGGCGCCGCACTAAATTTGATGTTTTTTTTTTTAACTGGAAGAAAAAAAAATAATTGCCCCCAAAAAACTCTTAGGCGATTGTGATCATTGTGGTCATTTTGATATAAATTTTATGAAGGGTTTCAAAGCGGAAATGGTTGATATTTAATTTTTTCCTTGGTAAATTAGCATCTACTGAGTGGCTCAGCAAGACATTTCCCCCAGTTAGATTGGTTTTTTGATAAATAAGTTATTAAAAATAATTTTGTTTTCTAAAATAATATATATACTAACATATATATAATAACAATAATGTGTTTTATTCCAACATCATAATATGTAAAAGGTGATCAAATACCGATAAAACTTGCACGTCACGTATATGACCTTGTCAGAGCTACAAACATTGCCCTCCCAAAAAGTTTGAATTTTTCGACTTCACGTTTTTTCTGTATCTAGCATTTATACTGACTTCAAATTTTAACCACACGTTTATTCACTTATACTAAAGAGACAGACTTTTTATGTTAGGGAGCAAAGAGAGGAATATTTGCCTTAAGAAAATAAACAAACATTGTAAACCAGGCCATACGTTTTTACGATCCTACCTTTATTTGTGTTGCGTTTTCTAAAGCCATTCAGAAACAAAATATTCTTATGAAAAAACGTTCTTTTTAAAGAAAAAATGGGACTAGTTTATCTCAAAAGTTTTCTCAAAAATAGGAAAATCCTCTGTGTGTGTGTGTGTGTGTGTGTGTGTGTGTGTGTGTGTGTGTGTGTGTGTGTGTGTGTGTGTGTGTGATGATTAGTGACCGACACGCAAAAATGGTACAATTACACTTTGAGTGAGTAGAAATACTTTGATTGAATACAAAAAATATATTTTGCATTGTATAAATTCGCTTTTTTCCACATCCTACATTTGTTAAATGTAAACAATGTTTGTAAATCGCAGGCCCTGAAGATGATCTCAATAAAGATCGAAACGTTGGCACGATAAAGAAAATCTTTTTCTAAAAACTACATCACACCAGACCGCATCTCACGATTTCTGAATAATAATAATCTGGATGAAAAAACTAAATTGAATTTCCAGGATAATTGGGCAATTTTGTCGTACTATTTGGGCTGTGTGTCAAAGCTGCTTGGCCTGTTAAGCGCATTTTAGTATCTCAGTAGGAAAATCAGGGAATACGGTTCATCTTTCAGAATTACCCATTACTTTTTTCCGATCGATGTTAGTGAAAATCAGACGTTAGAATGTAAAATTGATTTATCTGCAAAAGGAAAGAACTTTTTCTTCTCCACTTTTCTCTGACTCAAAATTTACTATGTAGTTATGGAGGTTTGAAAATCAACCTTTGAAAAACCAAGTTGTCGGCACCCGGTCAACAAGCCCCCCCCCCTAAAAAATATCAATAAACTAACATAAAATTCATATCTATAGAAAAATAAGATTTGATAATTAGCTAAACATCACTTGTAAAATAACATGAACCTGTTTGAAACAATTCATTTTGCATGCTTTCCTTTTATTATCGATTATCATTCATAGTCACCAAATCCCTGTTATTTTCGATTTTCTGTTTAGGAGGGTTTAAACATAAACGATACTTATTGAGTTATTTCTATGCCACGGTAGCAATCAAGCTGTAAAATTCATTCCCCCACACTAATGCCACTCATTTATTTTGAAGTTAAGAAATAAATTAGAGCCTGGAAGTCAAGAGAGTGAATGCTACTCAACATGCCACGTCGTTCTATTTTTAAGGGTTGATTATACTTATAAACTAGGACATATACAAAATTTTACATCATAAATCCTAACGTATACCTTATTGTACATTGCTAACACAAACATTTACTTTCTGAAATGTAGAATGTAGTGCAGCGTGTTATATCAAATCCTTCAAGAGCTATTATATACCCCCTCTGTACTTAGAGCAAACCGGTGAGTCATAATTCATCTAAGAGTTTTATTACTTTACCCGTTGGCAACAGTTCTATATCTTCCTTTCTTCTTATTGTAGATCTCGTAACATTTTCTCAAAGCGGGGAGTTGTATCTTCCTAAGGAGGTTGCGACCTTCTTCCGGGCGAAAAGCTGGTTTTTGTTTCGCTCTACGTCTACTGAATACGCAATTTTTGTTTTCAGAAGAGTCTATACTTCTGTTTAAATATCAAACTCGAAAATTTTTGCTTACTTTAACAATTTTTTAAAGTCGTTTACTTGTACAGAGTCTAGGAATTTGGCATTTTTAGGTATCATTTTGTAAAAATCTATTTGGTCTATTACAACCGATGACAATAAATTATTTATATAAATGTGTTTTTGCATTATTTATATAAGTATACTGCGAATTGGAAACTAGGGTTTAAAAAATAGTAAATGATCAATTTTTAGTTACAATCTAAATTCGTGACAAAATTTTACATCTTAAGAAAAAAAAGTAGTTCTCTGCTCCTGCTTGATTACTAAGATGATTACTAGCTATGATTGCTTATATTATGTTCCTAATCATGATAAAAAATAATAAGTTTCAATACGTTGAAGAGTTTAGGAGAAAAGTTTGCCAAAAAAATGAACAATTAATGCTATTCAAGTGAAGCGAATTCTGATCAAATTCCGTTGCAGCTCAATTTGCCATAACAAATTTACACACCTATTCCTAGACAAAGAATATAATAATAATAAAGTGGGAAGTTTATGGGGCAAACAGCTGAGATCATCATCGGCCCTCTGCGTGTTTTTCTTCTTTTTCTCTTCTTTCACGCATATTTTGTTTTAAACTGCGGTCATTTGAGCGTCTCTATCTGGCTACTGACTCTCTGATGACAAAGAATATACTAGACGATAATCTTCAAATAGCCACGAGAACACTTGGTTCGCAATTTTCCAAAATCCTTTTAAGCATTGCAAAAGCTTTAAATCTCATTGGAACAGTTTCATTCTCTGTTAAAAAGGTTGTAGTTTAATGTAAAACAAATATAACATTGAATTTCATCCGATTCTTGGAAGAATCAACTGATCATTCTGAACTAAAAATATTCACATTTAAAAAATAATTTGTCTACCTTTATCGGGTCGATTGCTTTTACAGAATATTCAGTTTAATAGAACCCGGTTTAGACACTTGCTACCGTCCATGTTCATCTCAATCTCTCTATGGTAAACAATCGTTACACCGTACTGAGGCGGATGTTTATGATTTCCCGCGATCCTTATCGCCTCTCCCGCTTTCACCGTTGAAACCGATAAGTCCTAATAATTCTACCAGTTCCTCCATATATGACTGGTTCATGTCTGCATCCGACGTGCTGTCTCATTTAATTAGCACGAGCAGGAGATGGAGGGGCGAGTTTTCAAAACTGGCTAAACGCTCCATGAATCTCGCTGGATTAATCGACATAATAATCGCTGCCACTGATGGCGATATCGATCTATTTCATATTAGCCAATGTTTTCCGAGATAAAATCTTGATTTAAGTCATACCTTGCCAAAATCGTATTGAGAAATCGTTATTAATAATCATAGTATTAATCGTTATAATTAATAACTTCACTTTTTATACTGGCTTTTACTGCTATCAAAATAATTACAGTAATTAGTAAAATTTATTATATGTAATAACAAAAAACATGTCGTAACATACTGTGTGCTTCTGAAAGTTGAGAAATGTACTTTAAAAAATAACGGAACAGGTTTTTTTTTATTACCCTTTGTTTTTAATACTTAGCAAAGGGCTCACTTTTAAATATGGAATGTACAAAATAAATATTTCGCCACGTGAATTTATAACATGTTTTTTGTTTTGATGGCATTTTCTTTGCAAGTTGAAAATAAAAACTATTCTACGATGAAATATTTATTAGCTCTTATGTAAAACCTTAATTCTCCCTAAAAAATATTCCTCTGTTTCAGAAATCAGTCAAGAAACGAAACCGAGAGAGATACCGATATACGGCGATCCTTTTGCCGATATCCACCTGGACCTGATTTTCCCGAAGAAAAAACAAATGTTCATACTGAACGGCAAGAAGCTACAGCTGCTTAGACCCCTCGACAGGGACAAGGACAATTTATCTCATACTGTTTTCCAGGTGAGTCTTGTATAATAAAAAACCAAAACAATTATTTTCTTCTAAAATGGATTTTATATAGTAGTATGAAATGGTATAGAACCTTGTTGATATAAAAAGAATTACAATCATTATTCGGCGATATCGTTTCTTGTGAATAAGAACATTATTAATTATTACTGCTGATATAATGCTAAATATTAGGTTTTCCTGTGACCTTAGAAGTACTTTATTTGTATTCGTGATTGAAAGAGCACTCAACCTAATTTCGCTTTTTAACCGCACGCTTTCACTTGCACATTTATATTTTTATAAATATAAATAGGTTGAGTCTAGACAGGCCGACGGAACGCGACGGAAGTTTCCGCTGCACAAGCTTACATTCAATACACACAGCCAGCGACAGAGTGAACGGACATTCCGTAACGGAAATTTCCGTGGTAGAGTCTCGGTTGAGCTCCGTTGTTGCACTAGCGTCCGTCGACCGAATGTTGCGCTGGGTTCCGTCTAAACTGATCCAAACAGTGCTGAGTAGATGGGGTGCGCCACATTGACGACGGACAAACGTAAAACGCAAGAGGCAGGCAGTCGGACTGGCAAACTGTAGGGTTATGATCTAGGATGGACTTTGACCAATTTATCGTGGAAGTTCAGAAGAGGCCCTGCCTGCGGAATTTTAAAGACGCTAATCAAATGAACCTATAGCTATGACCAAGTGCTACCCTTTTCATATTCAATGGATGTCATAATCAATCCAATGTTCTCTCTCTCTCTTCTGCTTCTCCATTGCCTTGTAAATATACAAAACGAAAAGTGGTTTCATTGTGCCTACACGATCAACTGAGTCACGTTATCAACTGCATATCCAAACAGTCGTTGTAGTCATTCCGTTCATTTTAAGGCCCGCGCCACACTAGACGGAATGCGACGAAAGTTTCCGCGACGAAAAATCCGCCCAAGCCGAACAAGCCACATATACAGCGGAAATGAACAGAATGACTACAACGGCTGTTAGGATATTCAGTTCATAACGTGACTCAGTTGATCGTGTACGGTACAATGAAACCACTTTTCGTTTTGTGTATTTAGAAGGCAATTGAGAAGCAGAAGAGAAGGAGAGTACATTGAATTCATCCATTGAATATGAATAGGATAGCACTTGGTCAATTCTACTGTCTGCATGGGGAACTTCGACGCTATCCTGTCAAGTTCTTCCAATAGTATGGCTTGATTTGACGAACGTCTTTCAAATTCCACAGGCAGGACCTGTTCTGAACTTGGACAATAAATTGGTCCACGTGCATCCTAGATCAGCTTCACTTGCAGGTTGCCAGCCCGACTACCTGCCTCTTTGGTTCCACGTTTGTCCGCCGTCAGTGTGGCACACCCCATTTACTTTGCACTGTTTTGATCTGTTTAGACGGAACCTTTATTTTTGGTCTGCCTATCCTCGCTGTTTTCGAGGAGCAGTTTTGCTTCTCGCCATCTTCCGTGGTCCGTAAAGATTATAAATAATGTGACACAACTCGGCCAATACTGAAAATGGCGAGAAGGTGAAACTAGTCTTATAGACAGCAAAAGCGTCGATAGACTAAACCTTAAAACAATATTAGCTGTAACTAACTAACCATAACCATATTAGTTGTAAAGTTGCCTTCATTTTTGGTAAGCCTTACGCTATTCTACTCCTAGCGATTTTCAGTGGTCAGTAAAGGCTACAAGTAAGGTAAAGCAAGGCATCAGAATAGAACAAAACAGTGTGGTTAAATAGGCTAAATTTTAAAACAATATTAGTTGTAGCTTGTTGTCTTGATTTTTGTATGGCTATATTCGCTGTTTTGGACCGCCAGGAGCGTTTTTGCTCGTCCATCATCAGTGGTCAGTCAGTGTAAGTAAGACAAAAAACCGAGCCAATGCTGAAGATGGCGAGAAACCGAAACGCATCTAACAGACCAAATCAGGGAATATAGGCAGACCTAACCTTAAAACAATATTATTTGTTGCGTGTTGCCTCAATTTTTTGGTCTGCTATCTTCATTGTTTAGACTGCCAGGAGCGTTTTTGTTTCTTACCATTCAATGTTGGCTCCTTGCCTTGCTAGTCATGGTTAAAGTATAGCAAGACAACAAGGAACCAACACTGCAGATGCCGAGAAGCGAAACACGTTGAATAGACCAAAACAGCGAATATAGGCAGACGTAACCTTAAAATAATATTATTTGTAGCTTGTTTTTACTATTTTTGGCCGGCGTTTCCTCGCTGTTTTGGAAAATTAGGAGCGTTTTTGCTTTTCGCCATCGTAAGTAGTCAGTCAGGGTTATAAGTAAAGCAAAGGAAGGCAGCCACACCAAGTCAACAGTGTGAGAAGCTGACACACTTCTGATAGACCCAAACAGAGAAGGTAGGGCAGACTTAACCTTAAAACAACATATTTGTAACTTGTTTGGTCTGCCTATCCTCACTGTTTTTACCCTCCAAACGTATTTTTTCCTTTTGCCATTTTCAGTTTTTTTTTTTTTTTTCCTGGGTTCTAGATATACCCAAGATAGACAAAGCGATCAGAAACGATTAAACGAAAGATTTCTTCTGGCAGATTCCTAGATGAAATCCCAGAGATGTTCATTTCAGTCCAGCCTTCAAATAAAATTAAAATTAAAATTAAAAAAAAAAAAAAACTGCCGATCTTCTTTTCTTTCCTGTTCTGCCGAGCACAAGATACACAGAAATCATACTCTTTCTCAAGAATTCTGTCCGATTTCAGAGCCATAATTTCAACATATAGGTGTACTGAATGAAGTCAATTTGCTCTCATCAGACTGCCTAACTTTATGTCAATAATGTTCTTATCTGATTAAACATTTATTATTTGCTTTTATTATGAAACGTCCGGTCTGCGTAATTCTTGATTTAAATTTAAATTATACCGTTATTTCCCATCCGTTCCATAATTTATTATAATTAAAAAATCATTCATTCACTGAGTCCGTGTTAAAAAAAAATAAAATAAACGCCGAATAGAAATCCTCTTAAATCTGAATTCCATTAAGAATTCCTGATGTGCTCAATAAATAGATAAAAGATAGACAAAATTTCGGTCCATTCGCGAGCAAAAAAAAACCCATTCTGATTTTTTATTTTTATTTAATGTTAAGTAGCTTTTGTGTGGCCCCTTGATTTGACCATGTATTGAAACATTCGGGTTTAATTTATACCTTCCCCAGCTCGTAAAGTTGGCGACCGACTCAACTGGAGAACTTAACTGGCTCTTTTAGACACCGGATCCGAATGTGAGAGATATTTTGAATCAAATTGAATTACGTTTGTGTGCGTGTCATTGTAACTCAAGTCTAATGATTTTCACCGTATTTTTAATGTGAAGACCAGTTTAGTAGTGCTGCGTTATTTTCTATAGGAACAAGAATTTGTCAGAAACTTCTACGAGGACTGTTATCGGCTAACTTATGCCACATTAAGGATATTTTTGTCATGCAAATAAAATGTTTTAAAGATATGAAAAGTGTGAATGTCACGTTTCTCATCTGTTGGATAATAAGAGATTAACTCTAGTAGTTAGGGACTTTATTCTGATTTTACGCGTAGCCAGCGGGCATCCTGCTTTAAATTGGGTTCTGCGATAGAATCCTGAATCGAAAAAACGGATGATATAATGTAATATTGAGCAAATTGAAATATATTGGATTTGTGGTGCTAACCGAAATATTTCTTCTTCCCTTAAATCGTCTATTCGGTTCTTCAGACGACATATTTAAATTATTTACGTACAAAAAAAAAATCTATTCAATAAATTCAATAAAATATCGTTCTAACCAGTTTTACCTATTTTTGGAAAAATGCAAAATGATTTGATCCAATACTATATTAAATTCGATACGTTTTGGGGCCGCAGTGTCGCCGGTTTTTTAGCTATTTTCCTCTATCTTTAAAAATTCGTATGTTTTTGGATGTATCGCAGGCTATTAATCAAGTGTGACGTGATGTTTTCCTAATGGGGAAACAAGTAAGTTTTAAAATATTTTCAGTGAAAATTGGCGCTTTCTTGTGCAAAAATAGTAACAAATTGATTACGCAAAGTATTGTCCATCGCTAGCCTCTACTTTTTGCGATCTTTCTGACAGCTTACGAATTCTGCGTTGAAAGAACAACTGGTCCTTAGAGGCAATGAAGAATTGAACCATTTTATACATTACTCTTAAGAACGGAAGTGCTGTTCAGACAGGCCATGAGTGATTTATGGAAACAAGTGGTAGTCGGAAGGAGAAATGCTGGAGAATACATTTGAATGTGCCCTTGTTTGTTTTTTCTGTTTACTGGCACTGCAACATGTGGTTCTCATCCATTCATTCGGTTTTAGCAACTCATTTTACATTACACCCAGTTGATCCCACCGAATAAAGCGCGCGAACTTTGGTCTATGAATATTTGGCTCCGCCGTTGATATGCCCGGGCTCTTCCCATCATCACAATTTCTTTCGCTTCGGATTGTCGAAATGAATCTGCTTGTTAAATAGTTACGTTACGATGCAAAAACCTTGAAGTTGGTACGTTGGAGCTGCTGTTCACCAATCAAAACTCTCCTTTTCACGTATTTTGGCTTTAATTTATATGGCACCCAATTTCCTTGCTTTATGACGTTCCTTATGACATTGAGGCGTAATGGAAATGCTTGTTGGGTCACTTCAAAGAGTCTGCATGTTGTGCTTGCGTCTTCATTAAATAATGGTTCCAATTCTGCAACTGTAAACGTTTCTGGCCTTCCTTCACATTCTTTACGCTCCGGATCAAAATCACCACTTTTGAGCCCCTAAACCAGTACTCAGAACTTGAAATGGATGGAAATGGAGCATGGTCCACATAAATTGTCAAATCGCATTGTATGCAGACGATATTTCTCTATTTACTTCAGCCTGGAGGCTAGAAACAATTGTGAGGAGACTAACTGAAGCTGCAAATAGGGTGACCCGATTCTGTAACCGTGGAAACTCAAAATAAATTCCCCCAAAACTGAGGCCATGCTTTTTACCATGCGTCGCCCAATCTTTAAAGACCAAGTACCTGTTAAAGCTTGCAAATTCCATGGGTGAAAAAATCAAATTCTTAGGCGTTATTTTGGACAGCAAGCTAAATTTCTCTAATCACGTATATGAAATCTTAAAAAAAGGGAAGGTGGCTACGAGGTACCTCTTTCCGCTTTTGTCCCACAACTCTGGACTCAATTTCAGTAATAAACTCCTCCTTTAGAAAGTTGTGATAAAGCCTGTCCTCCTGTACCCGCGCCTCGCTTGGAATTACACCTCCAGATCAAATTGGAAGAAGTTACAGTGCCAACAAAATAAATTTCTGGGCCTGGTAACCTCTCCGAGCTGCCGCACTAAAATTAGCTTCCTCCACGAGAGTACAAACATGAGATTTATACACGACGTAGCTAAACGGCTCACTGAAAATTTTTTCAATAAGTTGATTGAGCACAGAAATCCCACATGTCAAGAAATTGGAAGGTATAATACCTACGAATACCATTTGGAAGTACAGGAGAACATATATTACACGAATAATCAGGCTATAATAATATATGGGTAAAGATGTAGAATTCTTCACAACCATCTACTAGTTCAAAAAGTGGGGTACATTAAAGTAAAAATTAATTATTTTTAGATTTTGTATGGAGATATTTGATGTAATGAGCGTCGAATACGTATTTCCAATCATTTCGTTCACCCTCTCCACGCCGATGTAGTTTCAACCATTTTATCACACACAAACAATTATTAAAATTTTTTCAATTAATTAATCTTTTTATGTAAGGTTTTGGTTGAAATGAAGAAGTCAGTGCCACGAGGGGATCCGAACCCACGACCTTCGGCTAAATACGCCGCTGCTCTACCACTCAACCTATGGTAGGTCGTGGGTTCGAATCCCGCTCGTGGAACTGACTTTTTCATTTTAACCAAAACCTAACATAAAGGGATTAATTAATTGAAAGAATTTGGTCAATAGACCACAAAATATAATAAATTAAACATTCTATTTAAATATTAGATAGAAAATGACTAATTAATTACAAGATCTCCATATTTTATTTAATTATTTCTGCTTGTAAATAGTTTTTAAAAATCAATTTGATATATGTTTTAAATCCAAATTTTCACGGTAATATTTACACATGTTTTTCATCCGCAGTTGACGTGCACGGTGAGGACGACGGGGAAGAAAGTGACGATCCCTGTCATAATGCGTGTGACTGATGTTAACGACAACGCTCCTGTTTTCGAGAAAACCCCCTACGAGACGACAGTGTCCGAGGTAAGTGATAAACATAGACATTTTCAATATAACAAATCGATTTATCGTTGGATCGTGTAATTCGGGCTAATCCAGGCTGAAACGAGCTGTCCCCGGCCCACCCGGATTTGCAATTGTAATTGGCTTTAACAGCGATTTATAAAACGCTATAAGGGTAACGGCTTTGGGAACCGGTCTAATTAATTGTTAACTTCCATGCAGCAAACAGGAGCTTTTTTACATGCAACTCTTTGGTTGTGTCAACCTCCCACACAAGACCTCGTAACTGTTTGTTTGTGGTGTTGCATTCATTTGTCATTGTCACAATATCAACTTTATTAAAAGATTATGTTTTGAATGTACAAGTATTAAGAAACAGTCAATATTTAGATGAAAAGTTGAAAAAACAAAAAAAAACACTTCCGATTGCCTAATTCGACTACTATGTAACATCCATTTACAAAATCATAGTACAACTCTATTTTTTCTCGACAAATATATATTTAATTATGCTTAAATATCACAAGTTGCCAAATTTGTATTTTATGACCCGTTTGCGAAATTCTGTAAAACCCCGAACTGATCAACGCTGGTTCAGGTTGTAAAGCCGACTGGTTTTTTTTTCTCGAAAGGTTTGATTTTATTGGATCGACGACCCCGGTACGACAATTATTTAGAACGTCGTTTTGGAAATATTGATAACCCTTTTTTATACTCATTAATTATTCAAACCGCCGTAAATCAATTTGGGAATGGTGAAATTACGGTCGCTTCTGAGATATAAATCCATCCCGTTTTCGCTCCGGCTATGGCGTTAAGGTTATGGCTCGTAAAATTCTTTATAGCCTTCGGGCGTCACTATTGTGAGATTATTCAATAATTAAACTATCCAAGAGCCCCCCTCCCAAAAAAAAGGAACCAGCCGGTGTCGAAAATCTCTCTGATGTCGTGAAAGCAATACGAGGTCAATGAAGTTAATAGAATTATCTCGAACATAGACTAACAGACTGTGTTAAAATATGAAATTTTATGTAAAAGTCTGAAGGGTGATGAACCCTTTTGGGTGGTTTGATAGTTTACAATCGGTTTGGTCTGTCAGTCGATTTTTGAGGATATTCAGTGCTGGGCCTCTTTCAGTTCTTGCCTTACCCTTCTTATTCCCTTGGCACACATATCAAACAGACAAACACGCATTAAAAAGACCAAACAAAAGACGAAACGCGTCTACAGACCAAAACAGTTACACTTATTCCAAAATGAACGGAAAACTCAAAACTGAAAATCCAATTAAGGCTGCCATCGGATGCCTATTTATTTGGCAGTGTTCAATCAAAATCCACCTGCTTTCTGAAACCTTCACTGCTTTCCCGAATATTGCGTGAGCCGGCAAAAAGATTATGAGTAAAATGTAAACCGGCAAGAATGGACTCAGTCAGAAAAAATTATTGAGTCCAAGAAACGGAATTATGGAATTAACACCTTTTGTTGTTACTTTTCATTTCTTAATTAAATTTTCCTTCAGTAAAAACATAATACTTTATAAAAATTTAATGTAATCTATAATAAAAAATAAAGAAAAATGCTAGGGAAAGTAAATACTACAAAATTGGCAATATCTCTATTCATTTTTGAGCTGTTCATATTTATCCACTGACAATCCTACCCAAACAACCAACTTTACAAGCCTGTTAACTACTTTTTTTTCAACATTTAGTGGCATTTTATCTCTCAAGTCATCTTCATTGTAAGTACAAATAAACCAGAAGGCTGCAATGCTTGGGGAGCATAAACCCTCACTTCCTTGTCTCCTTTCATCACCATCATCTTCAGTGAATTATAATAATTTAAAATACCCAAGATGTGAAGTTGCAATTAAATAAAGGTTTTCATTTTCATCACTTACATCTAAATAAACTGAGTTCAGCCATTTTCAGTTGTATTTTTGTCGGTTGCTTGCCAAAACGGATCTGACATGGATTTGAAACCAATGTCGAACAACTTGTACATGTTATCTGTAGTTAGGTCGGTCAGGGTTATAAGAAGGGTCAGTCAACTAATCGATACAGACTCGCCATTAAAGCTGGCATGAAGCCGAAATTTGTCTGACGTACCAAATCAGCAAGGGTACATAAGTAAAAAGGATCGGAACGAACAAACTAACTGTTTCATCTGCAAGCCAAAAAAGAAATTTCACTATTTTATAAATCACCGCTTTTATTAGGAACCGTATCAATTTTTGACAGAAAAAAGATACTCAAATAGGGTGAAGAAAACATTCAAGAAGTAAAAATTGGGTAAAATTGATTTTTTGTCTTTTCTTGTTTATATGTTTTGAAAACATCAACTCCAAAGGGACAGAAAGTGGGCATAGGTGGGTCTGGGATATAAGAAGAGTAAAGCAAGGAACCAATACAAAAACAAAGCACAAAAAGTGCCTTTGTACATTATGAATGTTTAGTTTTCACCCTGACGGGCATTACTTAGATAGGCAAACCAAAATAGAACAACCATTTTATCTGTAGTTAGATGGGTTAGGTTATAAGACGGTTTTACCAAGGAATCTAAGCCGAAATATGCTTGACATAACAAACCATCAAGACGGTCAAGAGTGAGTTAAGAAGAGTGAGCCAACCGACCGAAACTGAATTTTGGTCATTCATGATCATTTAAGTTGTGCCAATTTCATCTGTCACCCTTTTTATACCCTTATACCGAGCAACCAAAAAGTTGGAAATTCCACAAAAAATATCATTGACAATTAAATGTCGATCAATCGCTACAAACGTCACTATTAAATGTACATTACAGAGAGATGGAATCGACGGTTAAGAAGTAGAAGGAAGAGACATCCTTCAGACGAAAGATTCTGACCTTTCTGCTGTTGAGAGTGCTCTCAAACGCATAACAGGATGTCTGATAGGGTAAAATAAGGAGAGCAGACAAATCAAAAAACATCGGAAACGACCATACTACACCTTTTATCCAGTTTGAAGTTAAAAATTTTCTACTTTTCACAAAAAGAGTGCAAGTACATCTTCCTGCATACTATATACGTACTACATCACTCCTGCACTTTCAGATAAAATTTAGTACTTACAGGACATTCTTATCGACATATATTTATTAATTTGTATCTGTTGTACACCTTTATACAAAGTCGATTTTAGTAGTAATACATGAATAAGGAGTACATGATTGTCTGTCGATGCCAGACGAGATTCCAAGGTTTGATCGTTTTATGCTCCTCGTAGGAGGTAGCTCACCCATTACATAATCTGCCCACGGCCTAATTGTACACCTAGACTAGAGTACAATTTAAAAGAAGGTACCGTTTACAAGCGACCGAGAGTCCGATTCTCATCGCATCGTAGGCGTCTGCTGATATCATCTTGAAACCAAAGCTGTATTTTGAGAATTTATTATACTCAAGTTCCTGCGAATGTCATTTCCTTTTCAATTATTTGTACTTATATTATTTTATATGTTGTATGTATTTCTTGGACAGAATGTTCTTTAGAATGAAATCGTTAAGGCGTTGCAACATAAATTAACTTGGATCTGCTTTCCTTCGCTGTGTGTTGTAACATGTTCTGTTATAATTAGTAAGATCGATAGCTTCATCATGTTGGTAGTCAATTTTTGACTGTCAATACGAGTCATTAACTAATTCTCGATTGGTTCCCGCTCGTCCCTGGATTGATAGATCTATCGTTTCAGGGTGATCGGTGACCCGGAACCGTACAAGGACAGCAGGCTGAATTTGAATAGACGGTGTCGTTTCGTTAAGTACGTCTTATCCTTCGTCGATCGGGCGATTACATCGATAACAGGATTGATTATAACGAGATCAGATCGGGCGGCTTAGTTTTATATGTAAATTCGCCGCTCGTTGAAAAATAGCTTGCCAATATGTGACAGAAGAAGCAAAGATACGAGGGACGTTTCAATTTTATTGATTGGAAAAAGAAAAATGCCTAATGTCCTTCTCCTTCTCTAATTGCCTCTTTTAGCAAGAAAAATGTACGAACGAGAGCATAAAAAAAATCAAGGTGATCAAACTACTCTTTAGCATAAATAAAAATGCTGTTATCTCCAAGACTTAAATTATTTATCTTAAAATCACATGCTGATAAATCAAGTAAAACCAAATTAGTCCATTGTACACAAATTGATGCAAACACTGGCAGAACCGCCAAAAAAGCAACAAGTATAACGTATCGTCTATCTGTTTGTCTAGACTTCCCAGACTAACTGTTTTGGACTTGATAGGCTCTCTTCTCATTAGTCCTATAGTTTCTCGAACACACTACCAAATAAAGTTATGATTTTTGTAAAAGTTCAAATTTAGATATATTACTGTTCTAATGGTGTAAGATTTGTACAAAAATGATCAAAAATTGGTCCGTAAAATGTTTAAAAATTTGAAAGTAAAAATTTCATCGTTTTCATATACATTGTGTACTTGTTTTTAAAAAACGGCTTTTAGCAGCCGTTTTGATCATATTCTTAGCTCCAAGTATTTCAGTTAATGATGTTGTTGAAAAGGATTGATTTTATAAATTTTGTACAATGTACGCGGATTGTTGTTGGCTGGTTTAACTATTACTTTGCGCCTTCCCCACGTCGACCAATGGTCTCTTTCGGAACGCCACTCTCTCTGGCATGTAAACGAGTACTGGTGTATTAGATCCTACTGTTTGCTCTTGAATCTCATTTACCTGTCGTATATTTTTTGATGGTCAAAATTGAGACATTTTATTGTTCGAATGATGTAAGATTTGTGCAAAAATTATCAACAATTGATCTGTAAAAGTTTATAATTTTTTATTGAACAATTTCATCGTTTTCACACGCACACATGCATTATGCACGTGATGTAAAACGGCTTTAAAGCGGCCTTTTTGAACACTTTCTTAGACAGAAATATTGCAAGTAATGATGATGACGAGAAGGGTAGATTTGAGCAAACTTGTATATTGACAGCGTTGATTGGGGCGTGGGTTCATGCGGGTTCACTCACA